AAAAAGAAATAAGTATGCTGGAGGAACATACAATTAGGCTTTGCATTTTTAGGTTATACAAAAAAGCGGTTTTCTTACTGGCAGGGCAGTAAGGCTGTGGAATTTACTGCATTATTCACAAAACCAGTATTGGTAGATCATCAACATTAATTTACACCACCTATACAGATCATAAGGGAAGTGGGGTTCCCTTTGTCCAGTCACAGTCTATAGCTATATCTTAGGGGTTCTAAAGTGTTCTTGGATCAACTGTATGTAACACCACAACAGAATGTTTTGGGCCTACCACAAGGCCTTCTTAAAGATAGAAGTGATTGCTGCAACAGCCAGCAGAAGCGTCCAGCCATATATATAATGCTTGAAGCCATTGCAGCTGGCACCTGATGAAGGATTTAATATCTATTACAGCCTATTTCCCACCAGGGTGCCTTCAGGTTTCTTCAGGGGTGCCTTGACAAAATGCTTAAAAAATTCCCAAAAAAATTGTATATAAAGCCTGTCTTTTCGTTACATAAAGCCACAGGTATTAATTGTGCACCATTACGACCTTCTTGCCCTCAGCATCCCAACAACCAATGACATCATCAGTTGATAAGGACATAAGACACCTGCACAGCATCCTTTTTTGCCCCTCCCCCACCCCTCTTCATCAGCACTGAGGTTACATTAGCTTAGTGAGAGAGAGAAACTGAGGGAGAAAAGAAATACTGGAATACTAGTCAGTACCAGTGTGCTTTTGTCAGAATAAATCACCTTTAACGTTGGGTGTTCTGCATGTGTGGCTGTTGCTGCATTATGTAAACCTTTTTGGTTTAGTTTTCACATTTTAGAATGGGGTGCCTCAAGATTGCAGAATTTAAAGGGTGCCTTGACTGAAAAAAAGTTGAGAAACACTTATCTATTAGAGTGTTATCAACCAACTGATCAGCTATAGTCTGCAGCACCCAGTGGTCAGTAGGGATGCATGTCTAAAGGAATGTTGCAATTGTGTTCTTTCACATAATACTCTGGTACAGTAACTGATGCCAGCCCTTAAGATCATGCCTACACATGATGAAGAGCAAAAAAAAATGATTGATAGCACAGAAAGTGAGAGAGTGCCAACGACAGTATTAATCAAGAAGAGAGAGGACTGATGATAACTGAAGTCGTTAAGACAGGAATGAAGGTGGGTCCAAGATGGGTGATTTTGTGGAGATTCAAATTTGCAAGGAACTGGGAGTAATTGCTTTCAACATAGCAGAGTACTAGCTACAAGTATGGGAAAAAGGAAAGGCTGGAGTTCAGCTTAAGGGCTCATATACACTGCAGCTCCAAAACTGACGTTCAGGTACTGTTCAGCGCTTTTTTTCAGCAGCCCCTGAACTTCTTACGCATTACGTGCCAAGCACATCCTCAGAGGGAGGATGTGCTTGGCACGTAACGCGTAAGGAGGAGCCTACGCACGCCGTGACGTCACGCCGTCGGAGCATCATGGAGCTCCGTCGGCTATTACATCTGACAGGACGGTTAGTCCTGTCTGTGCTTGTCTGATTTTATTGGATGCATCCCCTCTGCTACTGTCATATTTTTACAATAAATTGTTTATGCAATACTTCACTATGGGCATCTTTTCTTGACCCCCCGCAGGGGGGGCAATTCCTTTCCCAGATACGTTTTTTGCCCAGCGGAGGAGTCGTGTTTCTTCTGGTGGATCAACGTTCGTTCTGTTTCCTGTTATCAAGAGGTTTTCTTCCTGCCCAGCTCTGCACCACCCAGAGATCTTCTCTGACCAAGGGAACACCATTTCCATTCTGATGATTACCCCATGAGCCTTATGATCTCTACATTGCACTTTTAATGTGCACATCTGGTTAGTGTGCACTTTTACTCCAAGTCACCTTTGTTGGGACTATTTTTACTCACATTTACCTATTGTGATATTTATGACAACTTTATATATTTTTAGCGCTGCACTTTATATATAACTTCTTGTGAGGATTTTTGTTGGTTATCCTGTGTGCCTAGCTGCTCTAATTTTAAAAAGCCCTCACTTATTTCTTTATTTATTATGTACACATAGTTGTTCACAGGCAGTTGAGTTTACAGTAGTTTTTTTTTAACGCACCAAACTTGCGTTCAGGAGTAGATTTTACTGGCGTTTCAAGCGGTTAACCGCATTTATAAGCGTTTAACTGTTCCATGTCTAGAGCTTTTTTTTCATCATCAGAAATGCATGCAAAGCATTTTCCACTAATTCAAATGGACACGGTACACCAGCGCAGTCAGTTCCAGGTTTTGCGTGAAGGAAAAAATGGTAGAACGCGCTGTACTATGCTCATGATGGGATCCATAGTGAATACAACCAGAAAAGACAGGTCATCTCAACACATACTGCTCTCTCTGCTTCTGCTCTCTCTATTCCTCTCAAAATGTCTGAAATAGTAATTTTTTTTACTATTTTTCAGAGCATTCTGGGCATTTGGAAAGGTCTCATGAGGTTATCTTTTAAAAACGATTCTAAACGTAAATGCACATATACGCTGCTAAACTGACATTTTTTAACCTACGTTTTCAAGCAGTCAGTTTCCATCGTTCAGAAGAGTTTTCCAAACACCCCGTGTACATGAGCCCTTAAAGATATTCCTGTAAAGGTGATACAGTGTGTGAATGGTAAAGGGGAACAACAGTGTTGACCAGCAACCTCTTTGTGAATTAGAACATCAGCAAACTTCCTTACTTCAAAAGTCATTCTAGCTTGAACGGGGGACGTCCATGGAGTAGTCGTCTCTCCATGTGAATAACTTGGTCATTTCTACAAAGGATTCCATATTAATGAACAGGAAAGCTTGTCCTAAAAGTACAATGTTTGAGAACATTTGGTCCCAAGAGGAAACTCTTTTGTTTTATAAAATTTATTACAGGACAGGAATTGGTTTGAGGAGAGTAAGGACAAATCAAAGAATGACTTTGTTTGAGTGGGACACAAGTTATTTGCATGGAAGGGACGTGACGGGATTCAGGTGGTCTTCCAAAACAGCTATAAGAATGAAGCTCAGATTTTGGATGGGGAGGAACTTGGAAAGGGAGAAACTGGGAGGTGAGCGCAGTTCTTGCAGGGTAGGCAACGTACCAAAGTGTGATAAATATGTGAGCTAATGGTATAGCGTATCATGTGATGAATGGTGTTTAATTTTAGGAACTGCAGACAGGATAACATTTAATTTTCTCTGTCCACTGTGTATTATAAACAACTGCCATTTTTACATATCCTTGGTTTTCACTTCTTCACTCTGCTACATCTCAGTGCTGCTGATAATCTTGCAGCCTCTTTGCAGTTATTTCCGATCTACATGCAGTCCAATGGTTGTATGTCATAGGTTTCTTGATGATAAACCACAGTGGACTATGCCTGTATAATGTGTGCTGAAACAGGCAATTGAAGTCTTAATTGAGAACTCATATGACAGGTTGACAACATAGGAGCACAATTGGGAGACAGGGACGGAACGTTGTCACCCTATAGCAGGAAGTGTGTGAACAAGGACTTTTGTGACAGGATCACCAGGGATTGTTTTTAATGAAATCTGCACATGTACTGAAAAATAATTTCTGCAATGATGTTGACACATTAAAAGTGGATCTAAAGCCTTTGGTATTGGTCCCTCTCCCCCCCCCTTATACTTACCTGAGCCCTCATTCAGTCCAGCGCTGTTCATGTCTGCAGCTCTCCTCCACTCTCACTGCTGGGTCTCATAGGTTTTGCTGAGGCAGCGGGAGCCATTGGCTCCCACTGCTGTCAATCAAAGCTAGTGACAAGGGAGCAGGGGGCGGTGCCGATTCCCACTGTCTCTGTCAATGGACTCAGCAGCGGGGCTCGGGAGCAAGCCCACACGAGTGCCCCCATGGGAAACGGATTCCTATTGGGAGCACTAGCCAGAGAAGAGGAGCTAAGCCCGCCAGAGGAGGTTCGTGGACGCTCTGTGCAATTCTATTGCACAACGCAGGTAAGCAGAAATAGGTTATTTAAGAAAAAAAAGAAAAAAAAAAAAAGATTTTTCCCTTACAACCACTTTAAAGTTTATATGAGATTTTAGTGAACAGGTTTACATCTACTTTTACTATTTTTGATATGTCGAGTTAGAGAGAAGTTGAATTTTTTTTTTTTTTCCTATGGATATAACCATCAACTAGTTTTTATGTTTTTTTTCTACTACACTCAAAGTAGAACTTAAGAGAGATGAAGCTTTTTAGTCTTGGATGGATCAACAAAGGTTTGGACCCTCATTCAAGCCATTTATTTTGGCTGTGTCTCTGTTGGGAAAGATTTCTTTAACTTGGGTCACCAGTACAGGAAGTGAGACGCTTTCTCCCAAAAAGTTGACACTTCCCAACAAAATATTGCCTAAAGGTTCCCCTTTTCATTGTAAACATGTAATATTTTTTAGGCAAAGTTCTCCTTTTTCAGGAAAAAAAAAGCCTATGCAGTCAAGGGGTTCCAGTAGATATTAAAAAACTGCAGCTTTGTAAAATAATCATTTGTTTTAATGTTTTACCCATAGACCATTTGGATCCCCTCAGAAGCATGGCAAGCCTCACATCCTGCCTTGCTGCTAGGATGAAAAAACTGTTGGTTTTTACTTCTGCAATGCTGGGAATGAACAACCATTGGGTTTCACATCCTAGCAACAAGGGGGTTGCTAATTAGGTGTTTTTTTTAGCCAGGCTTTTGAGGGGGACCCAAATGGCCTATAGGCAAAACAATACAATTAATGGTCATTTTACAAAGCTGCTGCACAGATTTTTTTATATCTTTTGGGGCCCCTTGACTGCATACACTAGTTTCAGGAATAAGTGAACTTAGCCTTTAAATTATAACGCTCCTTAAAGTGTTACTAAACCGAGGACCTTGCATCCACTATATCCGCTCTCCCCGGACCCCGCATCCACTATATCCGCTCTCCCCGAACCCTGCATCCACTATATCCGCTCTCCCCGAACCCTGCATCCACTTATATCCTCTCTCCCCGGACCCTGCATCCACTATATCCGCTCTCCCCGGACCCTGCATCCACTATATCCGCTCTCCCCGGACCCTGCATCCACTATATCCGCTCTCCCCGGACCCTGCATCCACTATATCCGCTCTCCCCAGACCCTGCATCCACTATATCCGCTCTCCCCGGACCCTGCATTCACTATATCCGCTCTCCCCGGACCCTGCATCCACTATATCCGGTCTCCCCGGACCCTGCATCCACTATATCCGGTCTCCCCGGACCTTGCATCCACTATATCCGCTCTCCCCGGACCCTGCATTCACTATATCCGGTCTCCCCGGACCCCGCATTCACTATATCCGGTCTCCCCGGACCCCGCATTCACTATATCCGGTCTCCCCGGACCCCGCATTCACTATATCTGGTCTCCCCGGACCCCGCATTCACTATATCCGGTCTCCCCGGACCCAGCATCCACTATATCCGCTCTCCCCGGACCCTGCTTTCACCATATCCAGTCTCCCCAGACCCTGCATTCACCATATCCAGACTCCCCGGACCCTGCGTTCACTATATCCGGTCTCCCCGGACCCTGCATTCACTATATCCACTCTCCCCGGACCCTGCATCCACTATATCCGCTCTCCCTGGATCCTGCATTTACTATATCCGGTCTTCCACAGTACGCAGAACATGGAAATGCAATTATTTTAGTGAATATAAACTGCTAAATACCTTTTCTCATCAGAAGTTAGAGCAGTCTTGTAGCTTCTATCAGTGTCCTGCCCAGCACTAGCTAAAGCTTGTAGGAGGAGTTTTCTTTCTGCTCTAGAAGGATGCAAAACCCCTGACCTCTGACCAGTGCTGATTGGCCCTGTGCTGATCACATGCACTCTCCCAAGAAAAAAAAAATACATACCAAACTGAGAATGTGCAAATGCCTAAGGTTCAGTCTGTCTCATCATGAGATAAGAGGTGGTCTCTTGAAAAAGGGGAGGAACAGAGAACAAAGCCTTTTTACACAATGCAGAGGATTAACCCCTTAGGTTCCACAGTGAGTATAACAAGCATGCTTTACTGCATATACAGGCTGAATTTACTGTTGAGGGTTTAGTAACACTTTTTAAGTCCCTGCTTATCAATCTCTGCTAAGCTCTTATTGTAGGTCTTAAAGCCTTAAACTGAACACCTTATACGCATTTCTCAAAACTGTCTTTAAGTGTCACCATTTCTGCATGTTTACATATGTATAGGTTAGGCTCTAATAAAAAAAAAAGCAATTTAGCTACTAGTGTGGAACCCCAAAGCAACTGAATCCTAATACCAGGTTTGACTAACACCGTTCTAGATACTGCCTGCAAAGAAACTTCTGCAGTAGCAAAAATATACTTGGCCACCTTGCTCCTATCTTTCTCTATCTTTTTTGGTCCAGCAAAAGTGAACCACTTGGTTGCTATGGGGCCTGTGGGGGGGGGGGGGGGAGGGAAGGGCACTCTATTAAAGTGGAATTCTAGTCAACATCTCACCAACGCTAAACCTACTCGCACCCCCCCCCCCCCACAATTATACATCTATGTTATCTAACCCTGTAAAGAAAAGATTGCTATACTTGCCTATTCTGAAGGCTGCTCTGGTCCGGTCCCAGACTGAGCTGTCAGAGATGGCTTCTTTGCAGAGGTCAGGCAGCAAACTACAGATGCTCCATAGTAAGTCTATGGGTGATGTCATCTCCTAGGCATTTCCTAGCCATTGTCAGCTTACCTTTTCTACAGAGAAGCCGCCGCTGGAGACCGGACTGGAGCGGCTTCAGAACAGGCAAGTTTGGGGATCTTTTCTTTACAGGGTTAAATAGAATAGGCTTAGAATGGGGGTAGGAGTAGGTTGAGAAGATTGTGAAGACAACAGATATCCATCACTGTATACTTAAGGATTACAGGGGTTACTGTTGACACTGAACCTGTACCTCTTGTGACATTTCCAAGAAGAGGTGCTGATGTCAAATGTAGATTTTTTTGGCTTACAGAGCTTCTGGTCATCGCAGCCAGCACTGAAATTATCTTGTATGCCTAACGCAGACTTCCTCAGGCTATAAAGATCTAAGCTAAAAACAGACAGTTGCTCGTTGTTCCGCAAAAAAAGTCCAAGTTTAAAGAAGTTTAAATTAGGGTTATAAAGCAACTGAAGGAATACTAAAGTGTCATAATATCCTTGGTCCTTGGTACTAGAACTCTTGTCCCTTACTTTTCATCAACCACTAGACCACCATTTTCAGCAGTTGCTTGCTATGGCGGTGGAAGGGTGGCAGGACTTGCACTGGCAGGCAAAATTTACACTGAAGCCCTGAGATCTAAAGGGTCAATTCGCACTATGATGCTGTGTGTTCCTGTGGGATTCAGATGTGGTGCAATGCAGTATTGATTTGAGCACATTCATTTTGACCAGACTGAATCACAACAAAAGTAGTCCATGCACTACTTTAAAAAAAACGCAGTGCAACTAGATCGCATGGTACTTCTGTACCATGCAATTTGGTGCAGGCAAATGCACTTCATTTGTGACTGGCATTTGGGGTGCCATTAATACCTGCTGCAGATCGCAAATGCACTGCATTTTGAATGGAGCGTGGTGTGGGAAATGTGTATAAAACATTGGTTCCCTGTACCACATTCTGGCGTGAACAGGCACAGAATCCTGAAAAAGACTGATGAGCTACTGAGAACAAAACTGTTAACTTAAAAATTAGTACAAAAAATTAAAACAGAACTAAAGTCTCAACACTTACCTGTATAAAAAGGTCCCAAACCAGTGCCAGTTTTTCCGCCCTCTTCATTGGCCAGTGGGGGATGACATCACTCCTGTGCATGCGCAAGAGGACGTCATCCAAACATTCAGACACCAGCCCAGCACTGCAAGTTGAGCTGTGCATGTGCAGCTCAGTTTACAGTGGCAGAGGAGACAGCAAGCAGGCAGGTAGGGGCATTTTATAGCAGAAGAGACAATGCATGTCTCTTCTGCAATAAAAGCCTGTCTGCTCACCATTTGATACAGCAGGATTTCAGTTCTGCTTTAACTCCCTACTCTGATGCCCCCCACTTCCCTGACAACTTCTCTCTAGTCCCTAGAAGTGGACTGACCATGATGACAGCTCTCCTGCTACCTGTCCTGGACTTAAACATACTTTATGTTAAGATAAATGGCAGTAGGGAGGCTGCCAGGGGGCTGCAGGGCCCCTAAATCTTTAGTTACGCCCCAGTCATCCAGGATTGTTAACCTTAGCCCCAGTGCATCGTGTACCAGACAGAACTTGTTCGGAAATCTGACAACTTCCAGTGACAGACGGTTAAAAATAACGTTTAGCCATGCTGTAGGTGATTGTACAGCCAGACACACAGTCAAGTTCTGTCTGAAAATTAGTATAAACAGCTGCCATGCCATTCCACAAGGAATATAGCACAGGGACATAATATTCCTTCAGATTTCACAATGAAATGGACTATTTTCAGCTCAACAAAAGAAAATGATGGAAGTGAATACTTTGGATGACATTACACAGCAGGGTAAGTCCCGTTTTGTGGACAATCACAACTGCAGGCTGAAGACTCCCAGATCTTGGTTAAAAACTGCTTCTTTTCAGAGTAATTGTACAGGTCAGGGAACAGAAGGCAGAGATCTGCTCTATGTACCATGACAAACACTGCCGTACATCACGATGTAGACATATTTATACCGCAAGGAAGCACCCAGGAGGAACTCTCCTCCACAGATGTGCAGAACACGGATAATTGGAACAGACATGTTTAAATTCATAGGTGGCACCTGCAACCTTAGCGCCACTTTGTAAGTTTCCTATTATGTAAATCCCCCAAATGTGCACCCGGGAACCTTTTCCCCCCAACAAGAGGATGCACAAAAATCGGGAAGCATAGAAAAGCCAGGGCAAAATTTGTCCGTAAAAATCAGACTGGCCCTTTAAATCGGGAAATTAAAACTGTAAAGGCCCTGTGAAAAATTTCAGCACTTTAAACAATCATCAGGGTGCCAAAAAAGGGTTTGCCATTCTTAAAGAGGCCCCAAAACTTGAAAAACTGGGTCTTAAAAAGGGAGGCGGGTTAAACTTCCCAGGGCCTTTTTCCTCCCATTTGTGTTGAAAAATCAAGGAAAAGAGATTTTTTGGTGCCCTTTGGGAAAAAGGGGGGGCCTTTTTTTGGTGATTTAAAAAATTTCAGGTTTTATCCCAAGCACCCCGGCACGCAGAAAAGGACCCTTTTGTTGGGGCCTTTAAACCCCTTCAAAAAAAATTTCGGGTTTGGGGGCACTGGGTGTGAGCGGGGTGGGGTGCAATTTTTTGAGCTCAGTTTTTATTTGGGTTGGGTTTTTTGAGGAAGTGGATGGTCTTAAAGGGGCTGATTGAAAAAAATTTGGAAATTTCCCCCCATTCCCCTTTCGCTTTTGAAGGGGGAAATTTCCTCCCCCAAAGTGCTATTGTTTTTCCGGGAAAAACGGGTTCCCCTCCACTGTCAGAAACATTAAGAACAGGGATGCACCCGTTTGGGGCGGGGTGCGGCCCGGAAAAAAAAATTTTTCTACGGGTCTCTTTTGAAAAGGGGAGACTAAAATTTTTTGGGTTTTTATCCTCTTGACAAAATTTGACCAAAATTGGATAAAAATTTTGGGGCCGGCCCACTGCTGAACTGGATGAATTTTCTCCCAATTTTTTACCACCTTAAAGGGGGAACTGTTCTCCCCGGAAAACAATGTGTAATGCGGGCTAAGAAAAAACCACAGGGGGGGGGTTGATTCAATATATCTGCCAAACTGCCGGGGCCCAGATCCCAAAAACCCAAAAATGCTTTTTTAAAATTCATTTTTAATATTCAAAGAAAACCCCCCATTTACCATGTTTTTTTTGCTGAAAAAATTTCATTTTGAAAAACCCCCTACCCAATTTCTGGCAGGGGCCATCTTGAGTAAGGGCAATGAAAAGGCTAAGCTAGAACTCTTCCCTCCCCTCCTTTAAAACCCATTGGGAGTTGGGATTTTAATTTCCCCTAGCTAGGGAAAACCGGGAAGGGGACTGAAGAAATGTGAAAAAAAAAAAAAAAAAAAAAAGGGTTTAAAAAAAAAAAATGAATACTTTCCTATCAAATTTACAAATTTGCAAAGCCATTCAAATGGGTCCATTTTAAAACTAAAGAGAGTGAAGTTTGATTTTTAAGTCTTGCTGTTCGCGGGCGTCCTTCCAAACCTTCCCGTTTTGTCCTTTCAAAGGGAATAACTTTTAAAGGGAGATTTGTTTGGCGGTTTTCTGTTGCCCCTCTTGTGAAAGTTTTTGGTAAATTTTGGCCCTAGGGAATGTCTTTTCAAAGGGGAAATTGAGGGGTCTATAGTATGCCCTTTAATTTGGGTTTAAATACCACAAAACAGTTGGGGGCCAAAATTATTAAAACCCCAAATGCTGAAAAGGGGTTTTAGGGACTTTTAGTTTTACATTTGGGAAATTGTTTCAAATAAAACCCTAAAAGGGAACGTTGTAAAAACCCCAAATGAAAACTAAAATGACACCCAATTTGTTTTATGTAATACAGAAATTTAAATGGGTTCTTATTTGGTTTTTTCATTGCCACAATTATTCCCCCCTTAAAAGACTACCCT